CAGTAGCTCTTCATCTTGCTTGAAGTGGGGAGCCCAGAACTGGACAGAGTACTCCAAATGGGGCCTCACTAGGGCAGTGTAGAGGGGAAGGAGAACCTCCCTCGACCTGCTGACCACACTCCTCCTAATGCATCCCAGGATCCCATTGGCTTTCTTGGCAGCCAGGGCACACTGCTGGCTCATGGTCTACCTGTCGTCCACTAGGACATCCAGGTCCCTCTCCACAGAGGTGCTTTTCCAGCTAGCAAAAGCAGTCTTTCTGGGGAGCAGAGGCGGCCATAAGCCTGTCAGTTATGGCGCGTGTCGTTTCAGCGTGGGAATGGTAAAGCAGCAATTTTTCTTGCTCCCTGGAGAGCAGTATGGAAAGTTTTGATAGTGCTTGGGTTCTGGTGATCATCTGAGTGAAGATCTCCGAGCACCATACCACCAGCTGCAAGGGGCAGGACCCTGGGACCAGTGTGGGGACTAGTGTAGGCTGCCTGGCACCAGGATTTGCATAGGTGATTTTGGTTTCTCGTCATTCAGCATCTACAAGCTGACCCCAGGTCACAATGTTAAGTAAATTCCTATGTGTTTATGGCTAAGTGCAGCAGTTTCAAAGACTGGAGATACCTTTTGGCCTTGAGTGCCTGCCAAGCTACTTCTCCACAGCTTTTGGACCATCTGGTGTCACTCAGTGTCCTCTCTGGCCCCCGTGCTGTCTTGCTGCACGACGCTGAGGCAATCCACCAGCCCTTCCTTCATGACTAAAGGGTCACCTTTGGATACAGAGAGTTACTGCCAGACTTGAGGACTTGGCTCAGAGAGCAGCTGGTCACCTGCTCGGAGATCGCTGCTTCCCTGTCGCGTTAACTTCTCTAGCTGCTGGGACAGGAGAAGCATGTGAGGGCTGCTTGGGTTGAGGATCGCCGGTTACAGAGCAGAACCACAAGCAGCCGTTTTGGTGGCCCAGAGTGGGGTGACGCTGTGTGGTGCGGGGAAGGCCGCAGAGCACTGCAGCTGCGTTGCAGGTGCTGGGAGGAAGGCGGCAGAGAGGCAGCGGGCATTGCGAGGCGCATCTCTGACGTCCAGATGCGAAGGCACCTCTGCAGCTGAACAAAAGGCGCAAGGCATCTGCCCTGAGGTGTTGGGATAAACGTCTTTCTGTCTCCTCTTTCAGGTCTGGATTTACAATGAAGATCACGAGCTGATTTTAAACAATCTCCTTTGCTTGGATGTTTCGGAAACTCGCTCATCCGATCCACCTCGTCTCATGAAGTGCCATGGGTCCGGTGGCTCGCAGCAGTGGACGTTCGGGGTGAGTGGAGCATCTTGCACATAGCGCGTTGCTTGTAATTAGCATCTCAATAAGTGTCAATAGCACTAACAGGACATCAGGGTTGAGGTTAATTAGGACCAAACCTCAGATGTACCTAGTCAGTTGTACTGGACCAGGCCCAGCCAGTGGAAAAGTTTCATGGGCTTTTGCTGGTTGTGTTTCAGCCTGAACGAGACTTCTGTTGAGTTGAGGGCCATGCAGGCCCTGTGTGACATAGGAAGGTTTCTGCAGCTCCGTTCAGCCTGTTTTCTGCATGTCGCAGCCGCTCGCAGCACTGTGGCTCACAGGGATGTGCCAGGGAGAACAGACTCCACCCCGCAGCTCGTCGTGGTGGTGTGTCTGCGGGGCTGCGAGACGGGCGCAGTCCGTGTGCTGGTTTGCGCTTGGTGCTTGAAGAAGCGCAGGGCAGAGCAGAGGACTGAGAGAGGAGTTCTTTTGCTGTTGCTTCTGCCCTGTAATTGCATCGCGTTAGTTCAGTCGCTCGGAGTCTGGAGTGGCCGATTTCACAAAACTGAGCCAGTGCCGCACGCACGAGAGGTGGCTGCGGGGTGTTCACTCGGGGGCTGCTCCCTCGCACGCCCTCCGCACAGCCACGAGTCGGTAGCACAGCCATCACTGGACGAAGAGCAGGCGCTGCCGGAACTGCCTGTTGCGCGTCCGGGACAGCTCTGCATGAACTGTCGTGGGCTCACAGCGCGCTGCTCCGTGGCAGCACGAGCCCTGACTGCGGTCAGATGAGGAGGCTGTTGCAGTCCAGGGTGGAGCTGACCGAGGCGGATCCGGTGTGAGCCCAGGGTTGCGTGTGTCTGGTGCTTGCACCAGCAGAGCTACAGCCACGGCTGCAAATGGTGCTGGGAGCAGTGAGCTTCAGCAGTTCGGCTGCTGGTACGAGATTTTAGAATACTGAGAGAATGGCTGTTGCAATTCAGTGCACGTAACTGCTGGGCGGTGGCGGTGGGCAATCTGGGCTTGGCGTGTGAAACGCAGGCTTTGGGCTGGCCATTGCCCCCGGGGGGGATCTGTAACAGTGTCGCCGTGGTGCTCGGTAATGATCCACAGCAAAAGAAAGTGAATCAAATATTAGGATTGAGTAGGAAAGGAACAGGAACCAAAGCAGAAAAATGGCGTCACGCCATTGTGGTTTGCTTCTACTGCACACACTGGTCACCTCCTCTCAGAGAGGCTAAATTAGGGCTGGAGAAGGTTCAGAGATGGTGGCGGGGCAATCACATTGGCCAAGGGCTGGGTCCTGCAATTGGGTCACAACAACCCCATGCAACGCTACAGGCTTGGGGAGGAGTGGCTGGAGAGCTGGCCGGTGGAAAAGGACCTGGGGATGTTGGTCGACAGCCGGCTGAACATGAGCCAGCAGTGTGCCCAGGTGGCCAAGAAGGCCAACGGCATCCTGGCTTGGATCAGGAATGGTGTGGCCAGCAGGAGTAGGAGGTGATCGTGCCCCTGTACTCGGCACTGGTGAGGCCGCACCTGGAGTACTGTGTTCAGTTTTGGGCCCCTCACTGCAAGAAGGACATT